TCAAACGACCCTTTCACAGGGGTCGCCTAAGACCATCCTGCATATCAGATATTTACATGACAATTCATAACAGTAACAACATTGCAGTGATGAAGTAGCAACGAAAATAATTTTATGGTTGGGTCACCACATGAGGAGCTGTATTTAAAGGGCCAGAAGGTTGAGAACCACTGTTCTAGAAATACTGTAACTCCCTGATTGACTTAATAATGTTTAAAACGCTGCATCACTCAGTCACTGAGCCGCTGTGGCCGAGGCACGTGAGCCGGTGCTGGGGATGCAGAAGTGACCGATGATTCCCGTATGCACGGAGCTTACCTTGTTGATGTCTTCACCTAGGGATCCGAAAGCAACTACGAAGCTATTAAAGAGGGGGTCAACGTTCGGTATTTGGATTTGAAGCAAAACTGGTAAGCAGTTACTCTGTCATAAAGAATCTAGATAGTTGTCTGGGGAGGAAGTTGATGTGTGTGATAAAATAATGGCAGTCTTGCTAGGTCTCTAATGCTAATCTTGCCTGCTGACTGAGGGGTCCTGGGTTCGATTCCAGTCAGGGCACATGCCTGGGTTGCGGGCTCGATCCCCGGTGGGGGGCGTGCAGGAGGCAGCCGATCAATGATTCTCTCTCATCATTGACGTTTCTATCTCTCCCCTCCTTTCCTCTCTGAAATCAATCAATATATATATATATATTTTAATTGTGATTATTTTTCTATCATCTTTACCACCTAAAATAGTCCCATGTTTTTTTTAAACATGAAGATTTTTAAAATGAAGATGTCAAGTGAACGTTTACACACAGGTTTCCGTGTGAGCCACCGGCGTGTGCTCCTGGGTGCATATCTGGGAGTGGGCTTGCGAGGCCACATGGGAAGTGCATGTTTAACCACGTGAGGAGCTGCCAGGCTGTTTGCCAAAGAGTCTGTCGCTTTCCCTTTTGCCCTGACAGTGACGGGCTCCTGGTGCTGGCAGCCGCGTGGCACCCCGCAGACAGCCCCTGTCTCGTCTATTACTCCCTCGTGACAGTGGAGGACAATGGCTACCAGATGTCAGATGCAGTCACAGTAGAGGTCACTCAGTATAACCCGCCTTTTCAGGTAAGATCTTATCTAAGTTAAATCCCAGAGTGACGACCGCATGCTGAGTTTTCTTTCCCCTAACCATTTAGGGGTCAAATTCTTGAGAGATTCATCTGCAGGGCTTGGGTATATTTTATTTATTTGGGGGGGATGTATTTTAAAATAGCTCCGTTTTAGATACTGCATTTTACTTGCCATCTCAGACTTGTTCCTGCGCTCAGCCTCAGCTAAAGAGAAATGGAGTCGAAGCAGCTGACAGCAAGCATTTTGCTGCTGCTCACCTAGCTCTGTGAAGAGACCCTCATGTCTGTATTGTTGAGTAGAAAGAAAATATTGATGGTGAACCACCAAGTGAACAATAAGGAAGAAACTGGGTGGACATTGGGTTTGGTTTTGAGCCCTGTACATTACAGAAAAACTCCCTTCCGCTCCAAGTAGGATTATATTTGTAGGCATTATGCACTTAAAGCTCACGTCAATTATTAAAAGGGTGAAGAGATCTCCAATGTTAAGCTTCTTAATAGCAATTGGACATATTATTTAATAACTATGGTGTTCATGAGGGAAAGCCTTAACAACTGTAAGTTCATTTCATTTAACCTCGTATAGTACTAATTCTGCTAAATCCTTTTTCTTAATATGACTTGTTAAACTGAATACTGTAAGGAAATCTAATTTGTTCTTTTATTTCAATAAGCCATAATATGTTGTACCAAAGTGGGAATTGTGAAATCACACAGACAAGCTTTCGTGTGTCAGTTCTCAGGAAATGGAATTTTGAATTTAATTTTCAGTCTGAAGAGTCGGCCATGTGTCGGTTGATGGTCCCTGACTTCTCCAACCAGACCACCTACCTGTACAGTGAGAACGCCGTCTTTGTGTGCTCCACCGGCACCGGCAAGTTCTCTCCTCCCCAGGAGAAGATCGTCTTCAATACCCAAGGTACAGAGCAATTAGGAAGCGAGATCAGGGAACCCGTTAGTCATTCCTGTATCTTTATTCTTCTTCCATAAGTGTTTCTTCAAGCTCGGTACCTCCAGGGTTGCTGAGACCTTCAGTACCACACACCTATGGTAGCTGAAGTCACAGCCCTACTGAAAAACCGAACGGGGGTAGAAATCCCAGGCTGTCGTGTTTATGGACAAAATAATAGGAATGTTTTCTCCAGAAGAGGCCAAGAAGGAAAGAACTGAAGCTCAGAGGCAATTGCTTATCCCTAGTTAGTGAGAGCGACTCATTCTGAGTTGTTCTTTAAGTAAGTGTATCCAGACCCCTGGATGAGAAGACTCATGGCGGAGGAGGGGAGGGGGAGGGGGGAATTAGCCATCTGGGGGTGAAAGAAAGCCAAGCAGATGGTTAAATCAGGATATTTATCTAAAGGGGTTGGGCAGAGGGCGGAATCCCAGTGAGGCAACGGATGAAACCTCGATGTTCTGGCCCCAGCACGAGACTTGACTGGGTGGGTAAGATGGCATTAAGGAAGGCCCTGAGCAAGCTTAGACCTCCCCCAACTCGCTTCCTCAGTGAGTCACGGAGGAAGAGAACAAAAGGGCTCATCAGATACAAAAGCTGATACTTTTAATTTTGCAGGACGAGTCATTTGATTGTTTTGCTCCCTCGACCTGCTGTTGTCTTGGGAGGCCAGTGTCGATTGTCCCGGAGCTGCGGGCACAGGCTGCTACTTCAGGCAGCCACAGGTTCTTGACCTTGGACCCGGGCTAAAGAACTGCGTTCACAGCAGGAGGGATATTGTAAAGGCCGAGGACAAGCCCTCGTGCGTCAGCTGATTTTCTGCCGCGGGGGAGATGTTAGGAAGCGTCTGTTCGTGTGACTGATGGTGTGTTTGCTGTCTTCCAGGGGACAGTATTTTAGGAGCCGGTTCCTGTGGTGGTGTCCCGATCCTTTTTTCTAGAAACAGTGGCTTGGTGTCTGTTACTTCCAGGGAAAACGTGTCCGTATTAGCAGAGGACCTTGAAGAATCGTTAGCATCTTCAGTCGCTGGGCCCAGCAATGAGGTATGAGGTTCTATATTGCTTTTACATTTTGATCTGGCTGTTTCTTTTATCTCTCTCGTCCCCTTGGTCCTCTTTGCCAGAGCAGCCACTTTTAAGTACTTTTTGCTCTTTCTTCTGGTATTTTTTTCTATGTCTCTAAGTAATAACCATGTATTGCTCTCTCCTAATTCACCAATTTTAGACATCTGTTGACTTCCTATTATAGAAGACTAGAGGCCCGAAGCACGAAATTCGTGCAAGGGGCTCGGCCATCGCAGCCACGGCTTCATCCAGAAAGTCTTCTGGAAGGTTGTTTAGCTGTCTGATCTAATTAGCATATTATGCTTTTATTATTATAGAAATCATTGGTATAGAGCAGTGGTAGGCAAACTGCAGCTCGGCAAACTGCAGCTCGCGAGCCACATGCAGCTCTTTGGCCCCTTGAGTGTGGCTCTTCCACAAAATACCGACTTCTGCGCATGGGCCACGAAGTTTCAATCGCACTGTACGTGCGCACCCGCACGTGGTATTTTGTGGAAGAGCCACACTCAAGGGGCCAAAAAGCCGCATGTGGCTCGCGAGCTTCGGTTTGCCAACCACTGGTATAGAGAGTATGGTGTACCTGTGTTATTGCTGTCATGGGTGGGCCCAGTTTTTAGTCCAGTAACTAGGAATATTCTGCCGGGTCGGCGCGGCTCGGTGGTTGAGCGTTGACCTATGAACCAGGAGGTGACGGTTCGATTCCCGGTCTGGGCACATGCCCAGGTTGCAGGCTCGATTTCCCAGGGTGGGGCGTGCAGGAGGCACCCCATCAGCTATTTTCTCTCATCATTAATGTTTCTATCTCTCTCTTCCTCTCGGATGTCAATAAAAATATTTTTCTTAAAAAAAGAATATTCTGATACCTTCACTTCTAAACCATCGTTTGTTATTTTACAGAGTATGGCTTTTGAGACCTCTGCAAAGAACGAGACCATAGCCCAGGAGGATAAAACCAGGTTGCTAAAAGCCGCTTTCCTGCAGTACTGCAGGTATAACCGGCTTTTAAATTATGGCTTATTTTAAGTCTGAGGACACAGTTACTGACGTGCTCCGTATTTGATGACCAAGCGGGTTGGGAGAATGAGCCGTTAAGGAGAAAATGCTTTTTGAACTTGACACTTTCACAACTGTTATTCTGAACTTGGTCATCACAGGAGGGTCCTAGCTACGCGGGGTGAGGGGGGTAGGTGGGGGGAGATGATGTAGCACCCTCTCCACTTCCTGAAAAGCAGGTTTGCCCTGCCCCTCCGATGGTGTTGGTCCCCTCTGCTCTTCCCCAGTCGTCGTGTATGCGTAGCTTTCTGTTTAATCGGCTGATTCCTCATGACAAGTCGTGGGCTGTTCTTTAACGTCCTGTCACTCTCTCTCCAGTGCCTGGCGTATTCTCAGCATTCAGCGTATACTTGCTGAATTCCTGAATGCATTTAACTGCACGTCATTCTAAGTCATTGCCTTTGGGCTAGAATATGGGACTTTAACGTCACAATGAACTTTCTCGCGGTGGGCATTGAGCATGCTCTGCCTCCTCTCATGCTTTGGCTTCGCGATGCCATTTCAGAAAAGATTTGGGTCACGCTCAGGTGATGGTCGATGAGCTGTTTGCCTCCCACGCGGATCTGGACTCCGACAGCGAACTGGACAGAGCTGTGGCCCAGATCAGCATGGACCTGGTGGACGACTACCCCGCCTCGGACCCGCGCTGGGCCGAGTCCGTCCCTGAGGGTGAGCACTTCCTGGGTGAGCGTGTGGGATGGTCTGTTCTGGGAAGAACATCCTGGCTCTGTTGTTTAAGTGTCTCTCAAAGCGTATAGTTTAAGTTAATGAAACAGTTTCATATTAACTCATATTTTTTATAAGGTGGTGACTTTCCTTGTAGTCGATTGTGAGAAGGGCTCCAAACAGATCTACGTGATAGAATAGAAACTGAGGGGACGATGGGGCAGATCTGTTTGTTTAGCCGAAGACTGTTGATGAGCCCTACTTATCTGTTCGACATTTTATTTCCGAAAGGAAACTGGTGTCATAGGCAGCAGATGGCACTTACTAGCATCCAGAGTAAGTGATAATTTGGGCGTAATCGCTGTGCTTGGCTGTAGAAGCTGTACATTTCCCTAAGCGCTGCAGTGAGCAAATCCCGGCATGTGGAGTGTGCACACCACGTGTCTGCCTGCCGCGGGGCTGTCCCTCTGACACCTCCACCACAGCCCTGGGCACTTAGGGCTCCCAGGACCTGGGGACTGTCTCAGACACCCCTTTCTCTCCTAAGTTCCTACTTAGCAAGCTTGCCAGGCCTCCAGAGACTTAGGAAGAAAACTTAAGTGTTCACCTTCTTTCCTTCGCTGTTTCTTCTGAGCTGGCCAGCTTAGACTGTTACAAAGCAAATGGTTAAACTAGTACTAACATCTTCTATGTTTTAAATACATGCCGAGGCCGGTTTGGCTCAGTGGATAGAGCGTCGGCCTGCGGACTGAGGGGTTCCAGGTTCGATTCCAGTCAAGGGCATGTACCTGGGTTGCGGGCACATCCCCAGTGGAAGATGTGCAGGAGGCAGCTGATCGATGTTTCTCTCTCATCGATGTTTCTGACTCTCTGTCTCTCTCCCTTCCTCTCTGAAAAATCAATAAAATACATTAAAAAATAAATAAATAAATACAGTATGAGTGGTAGCAAACTCCAAAATTGCTCCCTAAGTTTTCCAAACTCTTGGCTAATCTTATATAATAAAAAGCAAATATGCAAATTGGCCCCTTGACCTGGAGTTCAACCAGGGGGTGTGGCTGGCCGGCCAACTGCCCGAGGTCCCTCTCCTCACCCCACCCTGCCTCCAACACACACACCCCCAAATGGGGGCGGGGCCGGTTGGGTGGACCCCACCCATATACAAATTCATGTACCGGGCCTCTAGTGTTATAAATAATTGCATTGAAAAGTTGGTCTTTTCCTTTTGTATGAATTCTTCTTAACTTTTTATTCTCATCTCAGTAATTACGATAAAGCCAGTATGTTCTGTGTTTTAAGTTTTGTTGCTGTGTTTCAACAGAAGCTCCTGGGTTTAGCAACACATCACTGATCATCCTGCACCAGCTGGAGGACAAGATAAAGGCCCACGCTTTCCTCATGGACTTCATTCACCAGGTGAGCGTCCGCCACTGGGAGCAGGGCCCGGACACTGCTCTGCGTCCCGTAGTCGACTCCCCCAGGGCAGCGGGGAAGGTGTTCCTTTGGTTTTTGCATTTTCTCTTCCTTTTTTCCAACTTAAAAGTAATTAAGTCCAGGGCTGTGTGGAGACCTATTACTCCAAGTATAAAAGTTGCATTGAAGATAAGATTAACGCACAGAAATCGTGTGTTCCCGCAGAAGTGTTGTTCTAGCTTTTCCTAGGATAGCCTGCCTTTCACTCAGGTTCCCCTGTGCTTTCACGTCAGGCTCACATCTCCCTGAGTTGATGTATTATTAGAAAGACTGTGGAGACGAATAAGGCGATAAAAATAAGATGTTTAGCGGAGGCTTTTTAATTTCGAAGTGCCCTGAGAATCAGATTATCATTTACAGTGCTTCTTAAAGGGACAGTGCCATTTATGTGGAGCCTAAAGTAAAATTAGAAAACCTTTTTGCTGTTAGAATTGTTACACAAAACCACCCAGTTTTGCCATCATCGTGGCTCCCACGCCTATGTCCCAATGAGTGACGCTAGTCTCATTTTTGCTTGTTCTTTCCCAAATCAGGAAGCCTTCGTGTTAAAAAGATTCTAGTCCCTGGTGCCTGCTAGGCCTTCCTGTGGGGGCCAGAACGTTCTCTGCTGTTCAGTGCGGTAGCTCCCTGCTCACAGCATATAAAAATGTATAGAACCAGGTCGTTTATTCATGATGCGGGTTACGCTTAAAATGCGGAAGACGTTTAGTGTTTATGTCTGTCTCTTGGCTTTTGGTAGTTCAGGTTATTGTAATGATTTAGCAAATAGGAAGTTAGAAAAACTCTAGACCCTAGTAACATCCCAGAAATGGGCACCAAGCAAACCAGAGGTTGGAGGTCAAAGGATTAAAGACCCTCCCGCTTGTACCCCCACTGCCCCCCCACACGCACACACACTCACTGGCTTTGGGGTTCTGGAAATCGGTTGTTGAATATGGAAACTGCTAAGTTTATAGCCCACAAAGTGTGGAATCCAGGGGAGTTCATGGATGCAGACAGGAAAGAACGACTTTATCATTTTGATAACCAGAAGCAGTCATTTGAGAAATAAGCTATCTAGAGACAACAGTGGACAGAAACTCAGGAGTAACCCTAAGCTTAGAACTGGAATGTCCGTATTTCTTCCAGGTGCTAGCTGTGCGTGTGTGTGTGCATGGGTGTTGGAAGTAGCCAGGAGAGGCAGCTGGCGGGACTTTGTGGGGAGCGCTAGGGCAGTGGCTCTGCACCCCCCGTGCTTGGGTGGGAATGTGACTGCATTCTTTGTGATCCTGTAAATGCGTTCCAAGAACGTGTGTGTCTCTCTCTCTCTGCAAGGTGGGCCTGTTTGGGCGCCTGCGCACTTCCCCAGTGAGAGGGGCGCCCATGGCGACGCGGCGGCTGCTCTGTGAGCACGCAGAGAAGCTGTCGGCCGCCATCGTCCTCAAGAACCACCACTCGCGGCTGCCTGAGCTCGTGAACACGGCCATCCTGATCGCTTTGCACAAGCGGGACTGTGACATCCCGGCCAGCCTGACCCCCGCAGACGTCTTCTTCAGGGAGGTAAGACGAGCTCTTCCCTTCGTGGCTGCATCGAGCTGGGCCGCTTACACACAGATGATGCCCACGCAGGGGGGGAAGGAAGATTGGGGGACAAAGCTCGTTGAAATTTTAAGTTGGACTTCCTACTTTCCGGGTAAATTATTCAAAAAGTACCACTGATTGATGGCTTCCCGGTGCTCGCTGAACTAAGAAGCCCTCCCGATCCTTGCTGAATGTTTTAATCCACATTTTAAAATATATTTTTATTGATTTCAGAGAGGAGAGGGAGAGAGAGAGAGAAACATCAATGATGACAGAGAATCATTCATTGGCTGCCTCCTGCATGCCCCGCACCGGTTAATCCACTTCAAATGACAAAAAACAAAGTCTGCACATGCTCAGTGCAGATGCAGCCCTGGTAGGCCTAATACACAGTGCAAGTCAGTGACAATGTCACATTTTCCCCCAGATATTTTGAATCCCGCAGATAGCTATGAAGGGCTGCCTATACTTGGTATTTAAGTTTAAAATCTACCTGATAACAGTCCAGAATTCGCTTACCTATAAGACTTCATTATTTGGGCACTCTAATTTTTCAGAGTTAGGGGATTTGAACTTTTCTTCATTTACACATTTATTTTCACCATTACTTGTTCTTTTCTGACTAATGAGCTGAAGGCGTAGCCCGTTGAGTGGATTCTAGGTAGCTGTGATTGTGGCCCAGCACCGTGATTGTGACACGTGGCTGACGTCTCTCCTCCCGCAGGTGTCGCAGGTGGATACGATCTGCGAGTGTTTGCTGGAACACGAGGAGCAAGTCTTAAAGGAGATGTCTTTGGAATCAGTAGAATGGGCTGAGGTGGTGGTCAGTGTGAACAATATTCTCAAGGTATGAAAATATGACAAAGTTTCCAGCAGCTCAAAGCCCAGATGTGGATAGAGGAGAAAGTGGTTTCTCTATTCCTGTTCTGTATCACCAGTCATTTATAAGAGCTTTGCCATTTGTTAATTCCGGAAAGTTAGAAAATTATCAGTCACTTCATCAATCAGTTAACAGCTGTTTTGATATTTGCACGTGCATGTTAAGTTTCTGTAATCCTGTGACAGATTTAGTGGGATAAACCTCTCTTTGGAAAAGGATATATATATATATATATCATTGCAAATGTATTATTCATGTCACTGTCTAAATAAGTCTGTTTTTTAACTACTCAAAAGCTCACTACTTATTGATTAAAACTTCCATTTAATTTTAGCCAATGTACTTGGTTTTTTTACTTTGGTTACCATGGTTTTCAAAAATTGGAGTTAGATTATGGAGTTCAATTTCAAATGCAAAAAGAACCAAAGAGTTATCCTCCAGGCTTGTATTGAGGATTTTTTCATATAAGGAGATTTTGATGTTTCGAATTCCCTTGAGAAATACTGGGACTCGTCGCTTTCTGCATACGGTAGCGCATTTCATTTTTCCCCAGGACATGCTGCAGGCTGCTAGTCACTATCGGCAAAACAGAGACTCCCTGTACAGCAGAGAGCCCCTGGAGAAGGAGCCTGAATACATTCCGTGGACGGGTGAGCTTGGAGCACTGCGCCCAAGGTTACGGGTCTCCTAGCAGCTCCTCAGAATGTGTTCTAATGAGCCCTCACTTTGGAAGCTGAGCAATTCCCCGAGTGCGGGGTTGTAAGTGAGATGCAGAGTAGCATCTACTAGGGTTTAATGCACATAACTCCTCATAGAGGCGGGCCTGGCCCTGGAGGAACTGACCTATTCTGTGTTGACTCAGTAGAAGAAAGTACGTGGAGTTGCATGAAAGGAATTTGGAAGGAGGGAGGGAGGGAGGAAGGGAGGGAGGGAGGGAGGGCTGGCCATGCTGGGGAAGTCTCCGTAGAGAAGATGGGTTTGAGCCGGACAGCGAGAGGGGTGCTGAGCTCCTGTCTGGCTCTTTCCCAGCGGTGGGAAGCGATAGGATGTTCAGGCAGGTGGTCTCTCCCCGAGACACTGTGGAGCCTTCACTTACCATCTTATTGTGTGTGATTTCACAGCAACCAGCGGCCCTGCTGGCGTGCGAACAGCAATAATGCGCCAACATGAGATCGTCCTGAAAAGGGTTTATCCGCAGGCAGACAGCAACCTCCGGAACATTCTCATAGAGCAGGTGGTCGCACTGATCGACTGCTTCCTCGATGGTTATACTTGTCAGCTCAAGTCTCTGGACCGATCCAGGGATCAGGAAAGATTTAACAACCTGGAGACTGAATACGTGCAGAAGAGGTCAGACCTCTTGTCTCCGCTGCGTAAGTGCCTGGTCGTCACCCCGGGCTGTGGGCCTTGGGATCCGCAGAGCAGATGCCGGCGTCCGGTCTATGCCATGTACTCAGTGTAAGAGCACCAGCCCGACCGTGGGAGAGGGGCAGCCTCCTGTGTCCTCACTCAGCCTTGTTTCATGAGGACGGGGAGCTGCTGTTTTCCTCGTGCGTGAAGGAAGGGAATAGCACCACTGAGGAAGCCAGGGACTGAATTGGCATCTTTAACGATTTGATTTTATTTATTTATCTTTTAAGTATATTTTTACTGATTTCAGGGAGGAAGGGAGAGAGAGATAGAAACAGCAGTGTTGAGAGAGAATCATTGATTGGCTGCCTCCTGCGCGCCCCAGGTTGGGGATGGAGCCCGCCACCCGGGCATGTGCCCTGCCAGGAATTGAACCATGACCTCCTGGTTCATAGGTCGATGCTCAACCACTGAGCTGCCCTGGCTGGGCTCTTCAATGATTTTATATGGATTCTGAAGCCAAATGTCGGTTTGGAAAGGTTTCTATCCCATTCATTATCTTTAGGATGTAATACGGATACGGGTAAAAGTGCGAGTAGTATTTTCTTACATCTTCTTACATCTTAAGTTTTCACTAACAAGCTTTGTTTCCATCTGGTCTTACTTCCACAGTCACGCTAGGCCAGCACTCGTGGGCTGCTTCATTAGCAGAGAAATACTGTGACTTTGATATCTTAGTGCAAATGTGTGAGCAGACGGACAACCAGACCAGACTGCAGCGCTACATGACCCAGTTTGCTGACCAGGTAACACGCTGGGACTGGGCAGTAGCTGCTGTGTTAAGGTTTCACCATTTCCTGTCTCACCTGGGCTTTTGGAAGATGACACCATCTTTTCCTGGTTAACTTGGATACTAATTTATGTATTACGTTTCTCTGTAAACGGGTAGACTGTTCTTTACATAGAAGTATTCCTGAAAGATTTCCTTAGGTGCATTAATATTGGTAGAGCTTTAAAACTGAATGGAAAATAGGGGAAGCGTAGGATGATGCTTTGAGAGAGCCCACATTCCCACACACCTCAGGTGTTGTTCACCTTGCTGGAAATCATGCTTCCTGTTTTCAGAAAAAGTTCCCATTGCCCGGCCAGTGTGGCTCAGTGATTGAGGATCAACCTATGGACCAGGAGGTCATGGTTCAATTCCAGGTCAGGGCACCGGCCCAGGTTGTGGGCTCGATTTGCCAGTAGGGGGCGTGCAGGAGGCAGCCGGTAGATGATTCTGTTTGAGGATGATTTTTCTGAGTCTGAATGCCCTCATTTGTCCGATGTGGTGATTCAATGAGGTTCTTTTTGAGGACCTATCATACAGGAAATTAGAGTTAAAATAAGATTTCTATTCGGGAGTCTCAGACCTTGGGGAGAGATTTAATATTTTATTATCAGAAACATATGTTTTAAAACGGTTACTAAACAGTACTGGGTCCATGGCTTTGTTGTTTGTAGAATTTTTCAGACTTTCTCTTCCGCTGGTACCTGGAGAAAGGGAAGAGGGGCAAGCTGCTCTCTCAGCCCGTTGCCCAGCACGGGCAGTTGGCGGACTTCCTGCAAGCGCATGAGCACCTCAGCTGGCTGCATGAGATTAATAGCCAAGAATTAGAAAAGGTGAGAAGGATTCGGTTCTATGGAGCAGATTTAGGGAGCTTTACTTAGTTAGTTTTATTGCAGTCTTTTTGTAATTACAATCCTACTTCCAAATCATTTAAAATGTGTATCTCTCTTTCTCTCACATAATTTGAATGCTTTTGATCTATGATAGTGTTGCCATTACTTCTTAATCTCAATTAAAAATATAGTCCATTGTGATTTGACTACTATTACAGTAAAATAATGCACAAAAATTTGGTTAACATGTAAAATAAAAATGTTCAAATTTTGAGTCAAAACAGTACACAAATTAATTTTTTAAATTCCGGAGAAGATGTTGAAGTGACTATATAATTGTTACAGAGCAAATGCATTTTATGTGTTTCTTTTCCCAATAATTAGTGTGGGTGGTTGATGTTTTATTGTAAAGTTACTTTGCCATATATATGGTCCTCATCAGTTTTCAGGTTTGCTAATATTGACTTGATTTTTCATTGATGTAGCTTGAGGGGGGAAGTTTGAGTTGTACTTAGCGTTTATGTCTATTTAAATTAGTAACCAAGTTTCATATGTTTTTTTGTAGGCTCATGCAACACTTCTGGGTTTGGCAAATATGGAAACTCGTTACTTTGCAAAGAAGAAAACCCTTCTTGGCTTGAGTAAATTGGCTGCATTAGCTTCAGATTTTTCAGAAGATCTACTGCAAGAGAAAATTGAAGGTAAAAGAGAATTTTAACAAGGAGGGAACTATTAGATACGTCTCGACTGGGGCATTTCACAGTACAGTCAGCAGCATGAAAGACAACAACAAAGACAGGACGCTGCCTTACAGGACCCTCAGAGCCATGAGACCAATTGCAGTGTGAGATGCTTTTTATTATTATTGATTTTGATTTTTAGAGAGAGAGGAAGAGTGGTCGCCTTTCCACTTCCTGTTCCCTGGTGACTTCCCCCTGGAATCGGTTGTGGGAGCTGCCTGGGAGCAGGAAGCCAGTGAGCAGAGAGCCACGGGCCAGTCCCTCCTCCCTGCGGCCCGTCTGTTCCTGCAGATGCTGGTGACCCGCAGTTCCTGTGTGTGGCCTCTTCCGTTCCGGACAAATCTGAGCCATCAGATACTTCAGGCTCTTCTCTAAGGAGAGCGGTCCACGGGCCTGGATGGAACAGCCCGTAGCGCCATCCTCTCGCTGTCCCTCTGCAGCGTGCCCCGTTCCTAACCATCGCTAGAACCTACTTTGAACCTAAGGATGTACATTCACTGGCATTTTACAAATACATACCAGGTTACTCAAATGAATGACTGATTGACCATACGCATATTTTAAAAGACAGTTTGCCGTGAGAGAGATGGAGTATAATTTGCTAAATGACACTGTTCTTTACCATAAAAATAACATAACTTACTTGAGAGACAATGCCTTCCCCAAGAACATCTCTAGTGTTATATCTTTACTTAAACTGGTCCTTTATCTTTACCTGCCGTAGCTCTAC